ACCCCCCCCCCTCATAAATGGTCACTTTTAAGGACAAGCGGGCTAACCCAGATTTCGGGGGTTTCCAGAAATCATGACCTACACCAAAAAGTGGATATTGTCCTACCTATAGCAGCAGTTTGGTTTCATTGGTGTGTATAGAATTGTTTGATTATAGAGAAAATTCTCCTTGTCTTTTAAAGAAACTGAACAAGGGGCAAAAATTTTACCTCCAATTTTCTCAAAACAGCATTTTTCGGGATAGCCCCCTCGTGGTTAAAAGCGACCAAATGATCTAAATTATATCGATGGGGGTAAAAAAAACCCACCGACATTTCAAGAAAAAACATAAATAGAATATCTTACTCTCTGGTATCGGTTCTATGTGTTCGAGAAATGTTTGTTGAGATTCAAATTCTAAAAGTTGGAAAAAAACCAAGAAAAAAGTTAATAATGTTGACACAACTGGCAAAAGAATGAAGCAGTTTTTTCCTCTTCTGAAATAAAAAAACCCAAAACTTTCTGGGCTAAGAACACTTGGACTGTTTGCTAACGATGTATAATTAGAAAGGCAAACCTTTTTTTTCATATCAAAAGCATAATGTAAAGCATGTAATAATACAAGTTAATTTTTAATACGTAAGCTATTTCTAGAGTTCATTACTGATTTTTGGAGTATTCGCAAACTCATGGCACAAATTTAAAGACTTTATTAAATTAAATATCATTATAGCATGCCATGAACAAGGTGCGGTCTTAATTTTTCACAAATGACCAGATATTTAATTAGGAACAAGTAGAAACGTGTCGCACAAAAATGTTTTTCGGAAAAAAAATCAGCAAAATCATTTCCTTACTTTTTTGGGTGGTGAGGTTAAGTTGTTGTTGTTGTTGTTGCTGCTGCCGTTATTATCATTATTGTTGTAGTTGTTGTTGTTGTTGTTTTCTTTTTACGCTCTTTTAATAGAAGATAACTTGGACCCAGATTATAAAGAAAAAGGGGGTGGTCGGAGGGCGCCACTCACAGCTCCTACTGCTTTTCTTTCCTTCTGTCGTTTCTGTCTGTCTTACCTTTTCCCAACACTAAATGACTGTTATTTCGTCAATGTGCTTTTCTTTACTCAAAGAAAACAAACAAACAACAACAACAACAACAACAAAAGATTACAAACAAACAAAATAATAGAAGCTGACACAATCTCATGGCGTCATGTGATTTGAAAAATAAAAAGAACTAATGTACACAGTCTTGTTTACACCGATGTTTGTGGTTTAGCGGTTAGGCGCTTCACTGTCGCACATAGCAAACGTGACTTCGATTTCCAAGGCGGGAGATCTTTTATCTTGTATCGAGTATCTCGGTCTTTCTGCTGGGATGTTGTGATCTCTTAGCTCGAGTTGGCCCTGACAGGCAAAGTCGGAAGCCCGCCTCCGAAATGATTTAAAAATTGTGTCAATGAGGGTGTAAAAATGCCTACATAAAAATAAATTATGGTCACTTATTTTTAAAAAAAAAGGAGATCTGTACTATGCCACATTTTGCTCCATGTCGTCATCAGTAATTATTTGGTCAAGTCGGGATGTTTGGCGGGTGGCTGGAGGGTGCCACTGGTAGGTCTTACCTCTTTACTTTTCTTTTGTTGTTTCTATTTATCTGACTTACTTTTCTCAGCACGAAATGACCATTATTTAGTCGATGTGTTTCTCTTTATTCCAACAAACAAACCAAAAACCCCTAGATTATAAATACAAACTAAGCACAGGGAGTTGACACGCTCGCTTGGAGTCCTGTATTTGGGAAATGAAATGAATTTTGTTTATTTGTTTTAGTAAGAGCTTTACGGCGCTCGCAACTTCATAAGGTCACAGGAGCGCCCTAAAATGAACTAATGTACACAGTCATGTTTACACCTGTGTTTGTGGTGTAGCGGCTAGACGGCTCACTGTCGTACATCAGAAACACGGGTTCGATTTCCAAGTCAGGAATATATTTTGATCGAGTATCTCGGTCATTCTAGATGCTGGGATGTTGCATCTCTCTTGGCCCGGGTTAACCATGATGGGTAGGGAAGGCAGCCCACCTCCTAGATGATCTAAATTGTGTCAGTGGGAAAAGATAGGTTGTTCACTGATTTCTTATCTGGACCGGTACAGTGCCACACTTTGTACCATGTCGTTATCAGGACTTATTTGATCAAGTCGCGAAATCTGGTATTCCGAAATAACGGCTGGACGTTTCTCATGAAATTGCCCTGTACACAACCAGGGGACTTTGAGCGCATAATGAATTACTACTGTTTTACATGCAGTTTTCTAGTTTGATTAATTGAGGACATACATTCTGATCTTTCGACAACTCTTGAGGACGCCCTGTTTTCGGACACTTTGAGAAGAGAAGCGTCACTTCATTACTCTTAAAGATTTTTCAATTCTGTTTTCTTTATCTGAAGCTTTAAAAGGCAGGCGACAATTTGCACACTATAAAAAATGCAAATTTGTGTTTCTGGATTGCGTATGACACTTCGAATTGCACGGTCACATTGCCATTGAAATACTGCTAGTTGGACATATTATTATGGGTCACTATACCTTAATGTGTTCAAAGTGCCATAAAATGCTAACTAAAACAAAACTAAAACAAAATCTAAAATGCTAAAAATCCAAAATCAGTGCGGCTTCAAGTGTTTCTGAAAGACCAGGTTGCCCGTCGTCAATGAGGTAAGCTTTCCGACGTCTGTCTTGTTGTTTACGAATTCGGCATGATGAAATCATCATCACCATCAAGTGCCAGATCGGCGACAGACGTCGGGGATCATGGTTCTCCACTCATTTATTTGCTCAGATACTCACAGAATTAGCTACATTATCATGATCTTTCTCTGTCACTCATCTGTTTACGCTCTCTAAATAACTTGCTCTGGGTCTCACCCCCCCCACACCCCACCTTGTTTGCCTTAACTTTAGCCATGAAGAGCTAGATGGTCAAGAAGTTTTGTATCTATTCAAGAGTCTAAGAAACTGAATTTCTATAAAAATTTGTCTTTTCCCTGATTTTTAAATGTTGTAATGGGTGAGTTTTAAAAGACACCACGTGGTTACATTTGAAACACTTTCGACGATCTATTAACAATCAGCAGACACTTTTGGTATAGCGTAGTGACCGTTGCCGTTGTCAATTGATACAAAAACCTGAATAATGCTCGAGAGAAAACTAAAGAAAACAAAAGATCTTTTTTGATCTTATCGATTTTTTATTGTTGAAAAAGAGAGGTGTTAATATACACATAGAGTCTTTCTTACAAATCCACAAGAATAGCATACAAGAAGCTATAAATCAAAAATATATTAAATCCAAACAAAGTCACAGAAAACTTTAAAAAAATGACATGCTAAGCGTGACGGTCAGATCATTAATATTACAATTTAAATCTGCTAGAAACTGTACCATGGCAATATAATAAGTTCTCCGAAATTAGCCTGTCTTTCATTCGAGTCTTTGATTGACCAATTCCTACGTAAAAGAGACGTGGGAAAATGATGATATATCAAAACGAAACACATTTCCACCCCACCCCCTGCAACCCCTTTGATAGTAGAGATTTTGATTAAGTATTTTGCGAACTGCATTGTGTATATGAATTTTATTACATGTATTTGTGTGTGCTCATTTCGTAACGATGAGTAAGCGTGGGCGTGTGATAAGCAAATAGATATATGTGTGTGTGTGTGTGTGTGTGTGTGTGTGTGTGCGTGTGTGTGTGTGTGTGTGTGTGTGTGTGTGTGTGTGTGTGTGTGTGTGTGTATGTGTGTGCGTGCGTGCGTGTGTGTGTGTATAATGTTCGATTATTCTTATTATTACTAAGTGTGGTGAACTAAAGAGTAAGGAACCGGCTTTTATGGTGTAGCGGTTAAGCGCTTCATTGCAGCTCGCAGAGGACAGGAGTTTTATTCCGGAGTTGGGAAAAAATTAATCTTTATCGAGTATCTGATCGGTCTTTTTCCTGGAATGTTGTATCCACATATTTGTACTTCAAAGCTGGGCATTAAATCAAATAACTTCTGTCACTACTCGGGTGATCCCCAACACCCATCAAAAGGACCAATTAAATCGTCCAGTAGTGGGCGATACCTCCCAGAAACTAAGAAGTAAGCGCTGTGTTAATGGGCGGCGGGAGGTGCCCATTGACATCATCGGTTCGTGTTTTGTCGGCTTTGTCGGTTATAAAAAATGTGAGGCAGCGTGGTGGAATCAGGCTCTCGTCAAAATAATGAAATCGAAGAAAACAGCAGTTTTCGCCCTGCTTAGCAATGCTCATCAAATGTTTGTTTT